TTAAAAGGACAATTTTCAGCTTAATATGGACAGGCGCGCACACACACACACACACACCTCAAAACCCCCAGGATAGCTAAAACAATCTTGAATAATAAAAGAGCTGCTGGAGGTTAACACCATCACCAATCTCAAGTTGTAGTACAGAACTGCAGTCATAAAAACAGCGTAATATTGGAGTAAAAACAGACACGTTGATAAATGAAATTAAAGAATCAGATATGAGTGTACATACCTATGGATACCTGACTTCTGACAAAGAAGTCAGAAATACACACTGGAAAACAGAGCATATTCAACAAATGGTGCTGGTGAAACTGGATAGCTTCATGTAGGAGGATGTAAATGGATCCATACCATTACCCTGCACAAAACTAAACTCCCAATGGATCAAGGGCCTCAATATAAGACCAGATACCTTGAATCTGACAGAAAAGAAAAATGGGACTAGTCTTGAAGTCACTTGCACAGGAAAAGATTTTCTGAACAGAACACTGCTGTGGGATGGTCTGTATGTCAAGTGTGTTGCTGATTGGTCAATAAATAAATCACTGATTGGCCAGTGGCCAGGCAGGAAGTATAGGCGGGAAAAAGAGGAGAATAAAGCTGGGAAGTGGAAGGCTGAGTCAGACAGACACTGCCAGCGGTTGTGATGACAAACAGCATGTGAAGATACCGGTAAGCCACAAGCCACGTGGCAAGGTATAGATTAATAGAAATGGATTAATTTAAGCTGTAAGAACAGTTAGCAAGAAGCCTGGTATGGCCATACAGTTTGTAAGCAATATAAGTCTCTGTGTTTACTTGGTTGGGTCTGAGCAGCTGTGGGACTGGCAGGTGAGAGAGATTTGTCCTGACTGTGAGCCAGGCAGGAAAACTCTAGCTACAGAACACCATTAGCACAGATACTAAAGACCAATAATTAACAAATGGGACCTCATCAAACTGAAAAGCAAGCTTCTATTTGAGCAAAGAGGCTGGCCATAGAATGGGAAAAGATCTTTGCCCATTACACATATGACAAAGGGTTAGTATCTAAAATTTATAAAGGACTAAAAAACTGGACAACAAGAAAACAAATACCCCAATTTAAAAATAGGGTACAGAACTAAGCAGGGAGTTCTCAAAGGTGAAACACAAACGGCTGGGAAGCACTTAAATACTCAACACCCTTAGTCATCAGGGAATGCAAACCAAAACTACTTTGAGATTTCATCGTACACCAGTCAGAATGGCCAAGATCAATACAACAATTGATAGTTTATGCTGGCAAGGATGTGGGGGGAGGAGGGAACACTCATCCATTGCTGGTGGGAGCGCACACTTGTACAGCCACTATGGAAATCAGTGTGGTGGTTCCTCAGGAACCTGGGAGGATATGTAGCTTGGATCCGACTCTGTAATTCTCGGGCGTGTACCCAAAGAACTCTACATCCTACTACAGAGATACCCGCTCCACCATGGTCACTGTTGCCTATCCACAATAGTTAGAAACTGGAAACAACTGAGATATCCATTAACTGATGAATGAATAATGTCAACGTGGTACATCTGCACAACAGAATATTGAAAAGCTGTTAAAAAAGTGAAATTATAGCCGGGCGGTGGTGGCACACGCCTTTAATCCCAGCACTCGGGAGGCAGAGGCCGGCGGATCTCTGTGAGTTCGAGGCCAGCCTGGTCTCCAAAGCGAGTTCCAGGAAAGGCGCAAAGCTACACAGAGAAACCCTGTCTCGAAAAAACCAAAAAAAAAAAAAAAAAAAGTGAAATTATGAAATTTGCAGGTAAATGGAAAGATCTAGGGGAAAAAAAAACATCCTGAGGTAACCCAAAAGACAAACACTGCATGTTTTCTCTTCTAGGTGGATGGTATCTTTTAAGCCTTTGATGTGCATGCTACAATCCATACAACCACAGAGCTGAGGTACCTGGTAAGGGACTCCAGATGAGATGATCTCCCTAAGAAGGGGAAATAGAATAGACAGTGATAGAGAAACAGGGTAGGTGGGAGAACTGGAGTAGGCTGATTAAATGGAGAGAGGGATGGATGAGAGGAATAAGAGGAGAACTATGGAGAGGGACAACTAACACTAAGGGACATTTACTGGGTCATATGAAAACTCACTACTGTAGAAGCTTCCTAAATATATATACATGTATGAAAGAAATCTAAATGGAGTCACCAAATAACTGTAGAGACAATGTTCCAACTAGACATCTTTCACAACCAAGTGAAACCTCCAGTGTCAGGAACTGGTTATATCTAGTTGCGTTGTTGGCCCAAGGGGCCTATAGGAACTCCCAAACATCTCGGGCTACTGCCCAAGCAATTGCTTGTTCTCCACAAACTGAGGGTAAGGTCCTATTGTTAAAGAGAACACTAACCTATCTCACTGAACATGGGGAAGTTGAGCTGGTACCTAACCAGAGGCTTCAGTCCCACTGACTAGTGTTCATGGTACTGGAAGGTACTCTGCAAGCTACCAAAGGAGAAAGGTGACCATCAATCAACTCAGCTACAAGCCTTGTGATCTACAACAGTGACCTGCCCGTAAGATATGCTAGTGAAATATTGGCACAAACACTGTGGGAGTAACCAACCAGTCTTTGATTGGAATTAAGGCCAACTCCATGAGATGGAACCCATGATAGCTCTTCTCAGGTGGCCAAGAACCCGAAACTGAGTAGGTCACCGGTCTAGGGGAAAACCAAATACCGCTGTTCTGCTAAAGGAATATAGCAATAAAATGACTCCTAGTGACATTCTACTACACCCAAGACCAGGGCCTCACTCAGCCATCAAGACTCTTCTCTCCTGCAGATGGGAACTAACACAGAGACCCACAACTGGACTAAGAGACTTTGGAACACTCAGTCCTAAATGAGATGTCTTCATCAAACCCTTCCCCAGGGCTCAGGGAGCTATGTGGACGAGGAGGAGGAAAGATTGTAAGAGTCCAAGGGGATGGACTTACAATGATACTAAGGAGACAGTGTCTTCCAGACACAACAGGACAGACACACACGAACTCATGAGGAGACTGTGGCAGCATGCACAGGGTATGTACAGAGTCAAGCCAGATGGGGTCCCAGTGCTGAGAGGGGGAAGCGGACATGGGCTCCCACCCCATGAAGAAACCCCTACTCAGAGGAATTAAATAACCAAATGCCTATTGGAATAAACCAGGCTGCTCGAGGTGATAGAACAGCTAAGACAGAGAGAATAGAAAATTTAGGAAAAGCCATAAAGCAATTTTTTGGGCAAACTTCTATAAATGAACAAAAACCAAAATTAACAATAAGAATAAATAGTGTTTTGTTGTCTGGTCTGGTAGACACAGGTGTAGACATGACAATAATTGCACCAGAATTTTGGCATCCAAATTGGCCTCTTCAGGAGGTAAATGTTCAGCTGTTAGGGACTGGGACATTATCTCAAGTGAAATAGAGTACAAGATGGCTCGAATGTATAGGTCCAGAAGGACAGAGAGAAAAATTAAAACCATATGTGGCTAACATAGCTATGAACCTGTGGGGTCGAGACCTGTTGCAACAATGGAATACTCAGATTAACATCCCTCCAACCTCAGAAACAATCATAAACTAGCACATGTTTCTGAGAGAAATATTAGAAGGTATTATTCTAATGGGTGGTCACCCGCCATCCAGATTGTACAAGAACAGGGTACAACAACTGATGATCTTCCAAAGACACCAACAGCTCTACCTTTAAAATGGTTAACAGACAAGCCTGTATGGGTTCAGCAATGGTCTTTAACAACAGAGAAACTCCAGGCTTTAGAAGAGCTGGTACAAGAGCAGTTAAATGCTCAGCATACTGAAGAATCAACCAGCCCTTGGAATTCTCCTGTACTTGTTATTAAAAAGAAATCTGGTAAATGGAGAATGGTAACAGAACTAAGAGCAATCAGCAAAGTAATTGGGCTCTCTACAATCCAGAATTCCTTTGCCTACTCGGTTACCTAAAGGATGGCCTCTTACAGTTATTAATTTAAAAGACTGTTTCTTTTCAATACCCTTACAAGAAAAAGACAGAGAAAGATTTGCCTTCACGGTGCCTACATATAATAATTCTCAACCGGTTAAGAGACATCAATGGAGGGTTCTCCCACAGGGAATGTTGAATAGCCCAACTCTGTGCCAATATTTTGTACAACAGCCATTGGAAGTGATACATAAAAAATTTCCTAAATCTATAATTTATCATTATATGGATGATATTTTACTAGCTGACTCAAATGTATATACTTTAGAAAGAATGTTTGAAGAAGTAAAGAAATTTTGCCTTGTTGGGGATTACAAATTGCTCCTGAAAAGATACAAAGAGATGGAGAAGCTATCGTTACTCGATAACCACTTACAAACGAAAAACTGTTTTTCTCCCAAGGAGTCTCACTGGGCATATTAACCACACTTAAGGGCTGGCCCATGCCCAGCAGTTGATGGCCGACACAGACCGATCTCAGTGGTGGTGTTGTGGACTCTTTGTCTTGGGTCGCTTTGTTTGGGCATTTCTGTCTTCCTAGTCTTTGCTTGTGTGTTATGGCTTCTGATTTTGTGTGTGTCTGTGGCACCTCCCTCCTTGGGTTGTTTGTATTTTTGTTTGCCTGTTCACTTTCTAGAGAGAGAGAAAGAGAAAGGGTGTGGAGTCGGGTGGGTGGGGAGTGGGGAGGATCTGGTAGAGGGAAAGTGTGATCAGAATATATTACATGAACAAAGTTTCAATTAAAAAACAACAGTGAATTAGTGCAACAACGTGCCCATTTCCAGGCACTGAGCAGCAGCACAGGCCTGTAATCCGACTCTCAGGAAATTCGAGGCAGAAAGAGCATGATTTCAAGGCTGACTTGGGCTACACAGGAGACACTGATTCACAGAGAACTGAGATTAAAGTCACACCTGACATTTTTATGTGAGTACAGAAACTCCCGTTTTCTATACCACACCGAAGAAGCTGGGGAAAGAAAAGGCCGTCTCACCTTCAGCGTGACATCGCAGAGTTCCCCATTCTCATAGAACCGAAGGAGAGAACTATGGAAGTCTTTCCATGCTTCGTTGGCTTCAAAGATGAAGGAGTCCTCGCCATCACACTCGCTGACAGAAGACCTGCTCCTCGCTGGCTGGTGCGGGGGCTGCCGCCGCCCCTTTGTCACGTGGCTCCTAGCTTGTTTCCCATTGGTGGACTCCGAAGCCATTTGCAACACTCTTTCTATGGAGCTCCCTTCTGAAACATCCCATTTACTCTTCTTTTAAGGGTGAGAAGACAGAAGACAGACGCAGCCACTAAACGTTAGACATCTTTCAAAATTCCTTCAATTGCCATTATACAGTTTGCTGAAATATTAAAAAAAAACACGCAAAGATAAACTAAAAGGTATTATGATTATAATTCATCAATATGATACATGTAACCGGATTGGTCATACTGGAAACCCTGCAGCGTCACACTAAATGTCACATGACTCACTTCATCTAACTACATGGCGAAAGAACAGCTTTAAAATTCAACACAAAAACCAAGGACATAAGAATGGAATGTACTGGCTTCAAAACCAGAAGCTGTGAATTAAACAGTTTATGCTTAGAAACTTTGAGGACTCAAAGAAAAATCAAAGGTTTTTTTTTTTATAGAATTAGGTTCTTCATAGATTCTACGTTAGACTGATTCCACCACTGAGACCCTGCTTAAGCTTTAGTTATCTCTTTTGGGAATGGGTGAGTGCATCACTTACAGGAATATTTCAAGAGTTAAAGATATACAACCAGAAACACAAACAGCTAACTATAGTGTACAGACCTCATTGTATCTGCATTTCCATATAGAATTTATTACTTACATACAAAATCACACTTACTTCACTAATAAGCATATTTGATGAATATTCATATCATTAATAGATATATGCTACAATTCTGCCCACCTGATCAAGACAAAGGGTTTTAAGTTAAACCATCTGCTATCACTTACTGGCTGTGATCTTTTTGAAAGTTTTCCTAACCCTCGGGTTCTCTACCCATAAACAGGGCTGTCCCGAGGGTCGCAGAAGTGCACTAGACTTCAGGGGCACTTACAAAACTGTAAACTATGCTGCAGATGTTTGTGTTAGGATGGAAGCTTGCAATAGCATGCAGCTTTTGAAAACTATAAATGCCTTAACCAGAAAGTCAGGTCTATGGGGTTCTTTTACTGTTAATCTCATCTCTCAGCTTTGTCCAGAAACAAAGTGGGTGATGTAAAATTATGGGCTGTAGTTACTAACATGTCTTAAAGTTTCTGTGGCAGACACAACATGATGGTGATCCCTAACAGGTCACATCTGTCTCTATCTCCTTACCTGTAAGAAGTGTAACCAGCGTCTAAGCTACAGTACGTGGGAAGGTGATGGTGGGCCACACTCTTGACTACATTAGATTGCACACTTCCACATGGTGCACTTCCTTCTAGGACAGAACAAATATGGACTAGAGTCTCCAGGAAGGGAGCCCAGGTCCTCACGTGTGTGCAACAAGCATCTTACCAACCCAACTCCCTATAGCAGCTCTTTTAAGTTCACATCCCTACTTCAAAGCCAGGTGTGGTGGTGCACACCTATAATCCTAGCACTTGGGAGACTCAGGCAGGTGACTTTCCTGAATTCAAGCTACATTGTGAAGCCTGATCACAAGAAACAGAAACCAAATAAGAACCAATACAAAACAAGTAGTACAATCTGTAGCTAGAGTTTTCCTGCCTGGCCCACAGTCAGGACAAATCTCTCTCACCTGCCAGTCCCACAGCCACTCAGACCCAACCAAGCAAACACAGAGACTTATATTGGTTACAAACTGTATGGCCGTGGCAGGCTTCTTGCTAACTGTTCTTACAGCTTAAATTAATCCATTTCCATTAATCTATACCTTGCCACATGGCTCGTGGCTTACCGGCATCTTCACATGCTGTTTGTCATCGTGGCGGCTGGCAGTGTCTCTCTGACTCAGCCTTCCACTTCCCAGCTTTATTCTTCTCCTTGTCCCGCCTATACTTCCTGCCTGGCCACTGGCCAATCAGTGATTTATTTATTGACCAATCAGCAACACATTTGCCATACAGAACATCCCACAGCAACAATCAAACCATTTCTGCAAAGGGTCAACACGCACATGACTTCACTTTGAGGGTCATTTGTACTCTATGACAACTCCTCAACTCTGCCTTTGCAGTGAAAGAATGGCCCCAAATGGGAATACATGAAGGAGTACAGCTGTGTTCCAATGAAAGTCTCCAAAGTATTTGGTGGGTACAATTTGGGTGAGTCATAGTTTGTAGACACTTTGCAAGATAACCATCTTTAAACCCAGTCAACCCTGTTCTAAAAATATTAAGACAAACTTACCAGATACAAATAACTCAAAGGTTCTGAACAGAAACTGGACATTCTAAGGAGCAGGATAAGCTCTTATCTAGTCCTATCTATCCTGCTCAGGATGCAAATCCTGTGCTTGTTTAGTGCATCTAATCTGTAGACATATCCACCCATTAGCACTTAGTAGTAGCTGCTGTGGCATCGCAGTGTGTGTATCCCAGGTAACCATATGCAGTATCCTAATGCTACATCCAGACCCACCATCCTTCATCTCACTGCCACCTACGTACTGTAGTACTGTCATCACAAGAAGAGCATAGTATAGTAAGACATTTTGAGAGAAGGGAAGAGACTGCATTCATGCACTTTTATTATAGTATGCTCATGTAGTTATTGTCTGTCTCATTAAATGCTATTAATTTATTACTGGGCTTAAGTTACAAGTTAAATTTCATGGATGATGATGGTGTATGTGGTATAGAAGTGGGCACATATGTGTTATGGCACACATGTAGAGATCAGAGGACAACTTGATAGAGTCAGTTCTCTCCTTCCAAGTATCTGCATGCACAACTGTCTGTTTGGAGGTGATGCCATCTATAGTCTCAGGTATCTATTGGAAGTCCTGAGACATATTACCCAGGAGCACCACTGTCTGTAACAGTCTCAAATGACAGGACTGCAGAGGTGGGGGTTCTGAAAGAAAGGGAAAGCTGAGAGAGGAGGGGCTGTGGCTTTCAACAGGGAACAGAAGCGATTCAGCTCACTATCAGAACCGTACTGTGTCCTCATTGCAGCAGAGGCCACATGATTCTACACATGATGGCACATACATACACATTAGCTAGTACAAAAGACAGGTGAAATGTAAGTTCTCATTGTACATCCCTAGTCCTGGAGCCACACATGATGTGACCACCGTGGGAAACAGGAAGAGTTCATGGGACTTACTGTCTGTGGCCACTGAAAATGAGTCTACAAGTATCTTAAAGAGTGCCTTTAAAATGAGACAAACATTGCTATATTGGATGAAAAAAAACTATTTAAGTCACAAGACACAAATACACCAAACAGAAATGAGATATAACTAGATTAACAATATTAAAAAAATAAAATGCATGGAAACAGCTAGATTATTAAAAGATATAGACTTCAACACAAAAGGAGAAGGTACAGAGAGAGGACACCAGTAGGGCCCAGTGGCAACATCTAAACCCAGGAGCGGAGGCAGGAGGATTACAAGTTTGAGGACAGCCTTGGCTTCACTGCAAGTTCCAAACCAGCCTGTACTACATAGCAGGACCTGATCTTAATAAAAATAAGGGCTAAAGGTGTAGGCTAGTGGTAGGGCACTTGCCTAGCATGTGTTCAATCCCACAAGAAAAAAAAAAAAAACCAAAGTAACCACCAATCAAATAAGCAAAAATCCTGGATATCAAATGTAAAATAATGAAGCTGGTCCCTTACCTTCTGCTGACAAACAATAACTAAAAATGGAGTTAGGATCTGAACATAACCCCTGAAATGGTAGACTGCTAGGGGATGGGGCATGCTGTAGCTAGTCCTAGCACTTAGAAAAGGAGGGGAGCAGTGAGGAGGAGAAGGAAAAATGTTATGAAATATTATTTTGCTCTTTATTTATTTAATATATATACAGTGTATTGCCTGCCTGCCAGATCTCATTATAGATGGTTGTGAGCCACCATGTGGTTGCTGGGAATTGAACTCCAGGACTTCTGGAAGAGCAGCCAGTGCTCTTAACCTCTGAGCCATCTCTCCAGCCCCGTGGAATATTATTTTAACTGGACAAAGATGTGTTACATTTGTTTACGCTGTGGAATATTACTTTAACTGTGTAAAGGTGTATTACTTTTGTTTATGCTGCATTTGTTTAAGGATGTAAGGATGTGTGATTAATTATGTAAAGATGTGTTGCATCTGTTTCACCTACATGCCCAAGGCACCTGGTTGGTCTAATAAAACGCTACCTGGCCAATAGATAAGCAGGAGAAGGATAGGCAGGGCTGCTGGGCAGAAAAAACAAATAGGAGGAGAAATCTAGGCTCAGGAGGAGGAGGAATGAGAGAAGGACAGGATGAGGGACATGTCTGGGGCAAGAAGTCAGCTGCCGCTGTCAGACAGACAGACAGACAGACAGACGTGAGAAGCAGTGAAAGTAAGACACACAGAAGGAAAGAAAAGTAAAAAGCCCCGAGACAAAAGGTGGATAAAGAGAAACAGGTTAATTTAAGTTAAAAGAGCTAGCCAGAAACATGCCTAAGCTAGGCCGAGCATTCAAAACTGGTAAGTCTCGGTGTCATGATTTGGGAGCTGGTTGGTGGTCCACAGAAAAACACTTCAGAAATGTCAAGTTCCCTCTGGTGCAATAATGGAGAAATAAAAAGGCACAACAAACTGGAAGGAAACAGAACTGTCCACAGTAATGTAACTGGATATGTGCAGTCTCCCGGTTCAAATAACAAATCATACTGAACCAAAGAGTCTAAAGATTTGTGCAAATTGTACTGAAGGGAAGGAAAGGGGGACAGGAACAACACTGGTTGAAAAGAGTCAGGTGGGATATGTAGACAAGGAACTCGGTGTTCTTACTCTTCTGCAGGGTTTACAGGAGGACATGTCTGTGCGTCTTTCACCATGATGGACATGTATCAGAAGACATGCTATCTCTGTCCTCCTGGCCTTGAGGAGGAAGCAATGAGCTTCTGCAGGAGCTGCTGTGTTCTTCCTGCTGGCATCTTACCCTGTGTACAGACAGCCTGTGTGTGATAACAGTGGGCAGAAAGATGCACATTTGCATTTAACAAGAAAGAAGTGCCAGGAGTTTGATCTTTGTAGTATCCTCCTCTTTCTCTTTTTCTCTCTTTTCTCTCTCTCTCTCTCTCTCTCTCTCTCTCTCTCTCTCTCTCTCTCTCTCTCTCTCTCTCAACCTAGTTTAACTGTAGAGACATTGCGGTGGAGGTATTCTAGGTT